GGATTAAGCCGAGGTCCTAGCCGATTCCCAAGTATTCAGATGTCGGCAGCCACCCCTGTGCTGTTCCGGCTGCCCAATGTCCAACTGCCCCTCGAAACGATTAATTGCACAGCTGCGCACACAGCAAGAGAACGCAGCCCGACTTCTGTAACGTGCGGTTCATTCCGTTCATTAAAACGGCCAATGTCACACACGCACTTGCAAGCAAATTCAACGCACTCGCAAAATGCATGGTGCACGACGCGTCGTTGATTCCCTAACTCTGAGACACGATTTCTTAATTGCACAGCAGTGCACAAAGCAAGCGAACGCGTCCCGACTTCTGCAACACGTGTTTTACATTCATTCCGTTAAATAAAACAGCCAACATCTCTCATGCACTCGCGAAATGCATCGCGGACGACAACAAACCCCCGCGAAGATATCACTAGGGGGCCAATTTCTCTGCCAAATCTGGCGGCAGTCTGGCCACAACCACCCCAAAGTCTGCCAACTGAGATATGCAAAGTTAACGCCACCCCTAGAAAGATGCCTACGACATCACAGGCTTTCCCATGGGGACGGGAGGTTCCTCGTGGTTCAGTACTTTCTCCGCGAGGAGCGCTCGCAGCAGACACTACTACTTCCGTTGGATTCGGAAGTGACGCCATCACTGGGGCACAATAGGTGGATAGCAAAATCGTGGCTCACGCAATAGATTGTGGCCTATGGTGCCCGCCTGCACCTATTTCCGGTTCGAGGCGTCATGATGCCGTGCGGACATTTTTGCCAGTGCCAGCGTTTTTAGCATGTTCCACCTTGCACTCGTGGTGCCATTTTCTTATAAATTGCTGCGTAATACTTTGGAGTACTATGCAGCATGATTTAATAACAAATGCAATCTTTATGAGATAATCATAATTGTGCGAGCAGTCATTTTTTATTGAAGTGGCTTGCACCTCCGGACACAAGCTTGTTTTGCAGCGAAGGTTATGTTGCGCATGTTTTGTCACATACAAAGATTCCTGATGATCACGGGATCACGAAATATCCATTCACTTGTTTTCATGTTGCTCACGTCCCCTAAGATATTTCATTTACTTTTTGCTGGCAAAGATACCATTCAGGGCTCAATATAGCGAATGGCCATAGTAATGTGTTTCGAACGCCATAAACGAAACGTGCTTGTAGTTTTCTGGCTTTTTTTTTTTACGCCTCTATTTATCTCTCTAAATGAGGTGTCATCCCTCACATGCTCAAACAATGTTTTTCAATGCATGCAAAATTATTCACACTCAGCGTACAGTTTTGCAAGACAGCCTTCAAGGCTATGTGTCAGGGTATAACATGACTTATCCGCACTACGTGCTTGCAAGTCTGACATAACAGAGACGCCATATCATGCTACTCATTGCTTCAAAAGAGACTTTGATCGTTGTTTGTCACACAATACTATTATGTGAGTGGCGGTATTGTTCTGTGGGCTTTTTACGCACTCACCTGCTTTAATCAATTTGACAGACATTTAGCGTTTCAGAATTACAATAGAAGTATTTTGTATCGGCATACTTGATCGTGCAAAGTACGCGCATGTATGTAGACATCGTACATATGTTGACATATGACAGCATTTGAGCATATCTGTGAGTGATACTGATGTGGTCACGGTAAGTGTATGCGCTCGAAAATACTAAATTGAGGTGATTCTGCAATATGTTACTGCATGTTTCAAAGCATAACCGCAGCTGTGCTCATAACCCATATCTCCACATTCCTCGTTTTTGCCCATGTTCACCTCCCGCTTCGTTCCCTGAAATGTGCAAAATACTATCAATTCATTAACAAAACAGAATTGAACACAATCATCGAACAAGCAGCAGCAAAAGCGTCACAGAATTGCGCATATTTCCTCCCCGATTACACTGCGCAGCAGGCACCTTAGAGCAGCGAAGAGATAGGCCTCGAACCACAAGTACCATAGCAGACAACGCACCATTTTGCTATCCACCTATAGTGTCTGTCGCCTTGCCTTGGAGACAGCAGTAAACATTGCTTTTATCTCAGAGGCTGCAAGGTTTAAGGCAACCGCTGTAGCAAGCGCTCGACACCGACACTGTTTAGAATTAGAAGGGGGCTCAGTGGCTTGCAGAAAAACACAAACAGGATAGAAAGGCAGCTGCGAAATTTGGGAACCATCTAAACTCCCAAAGAAATGAGACAAGCGAGAGCAGAGGTTTATAACTACAGCTCAAAGTGCTAGGCTAGAAGGGGACAAAGTTATTGAATATATAAAAACAAGGGTGACAGAAAAATTTCAACAAAAAAGCCGCCACAACAGACAAGGATGCACCACAACAGACAAGGATGGATTAAGTGGTGCAATGGCTCCATTTTCACGAGAGTGGGAAAGGGCTGAGAAGAGGGTTCCTAGTAGTACATCAATAGGCCCAGATCGCATTCAAGTTATGCTGATAAAGACATTAGGTCCGAAGTCTAAGCAGGCTTTGAGAGAGGCAGTGAGCAGAACTATAATCGATGGTGAAGTCCCTGATGTATAGAAACTTAGCAGGATGAGCATGATTTATAAAGGAGAGGGGGACAAAGATGACATAAACAACTACCGTTCTATAACAGTTACTTCAGTGGTCTACAGGCTGGTGATGCAGATTGTAAAGGAAAGACTTGTAGGCATGAATCGAGGATGAGAGGTGCTGGGGGAACTGCAGAATGGGTTTCGGAAACACAGGAGGTTGGAAGACAATCTGTTCTCACTGACGCAGTGCATCGAAAAAGCAGAAAAAGAACACAGGCCCCTGTGGCTAGCATTTTTGGATATCAAGAGAGCGTACGATAGCGTGGTTCAAGAGGACTTGTGGGGAATACTGGACACACTAGATCTGGGAGATGGAGTCACTAATCTTTTAAAGGATGTCTATAAAAGTAACAAGGTTGTTATCAAGTGGGAAAAACAGGTACCCAAGCCCACAGAGGAGAAACGGGGGCTTAGGCAGGGGTGTCCTCTGTCACCATTGTTATTCATTATGTACCTACAAGGATTACAGGCCAAATTAGAGGGAAATGGATTGGCTTCAACCTTTCTTTCATCAAACAAGGAAAACTCAATGAACGGGCACTACCAAAACTGATGTACGCAGATGATATAGCGCTAAGAACCGACAAGGAAAATTTGCAGATTGATGGACATCTGCGGTCATGAAGGAGATAGGTTAGATTCCAGATTCAGTAAGGAAAAATCAGCAATCATGATTTTTAATGATAATGGAGGTAGTGAGCCTAGAATACAGGAGGTCATGCTAGAGATAACAGATAAATACAAATATCTGGGCGTATGGATAAGCAATGGGACCGAGTACTTAGGTGAACACGAAATATATGTGACGACTAAATGTAACAGGAATGCAGCAGTGATGAAAAATTGGGCACTGTGGAATTACAATAGATATGATGTTGTGAGAGGAATATGGAAAGGGGTCATGGTTCCTGGTCTGACGTTCGACAATGCAGTCTTGTGCAAGAGATCAGATGTTCAAGCAAGATTGGAAATTAAGCAACGTGGAATAGGTAGGCTTGCTTTAGGAGCTCACAGGAGTACACCAAATCAGGGAGTACAAGGTGACATGAGATGGACATCATTTGAGGGCAGGGAAGCTAGCAGCAAGATAAAATTTGAGAAGCGATTGAGAGAAATGGGGGAGGAGCGTTGGGCTAGGAAGGTTTCCAGCTACTTTACATGAAGAATGTCGATACAAAATGGAGGAAGCGAACCAGAAAATTGATGAGTAAATACTTAGAAAAGAGAGGGGGCCAAAGCATGAAGAACTATCAGTTAGGAAGAAGGTGAAGAAAACGGAGACCGATATGTGAATAAGTGACATGATTAAGAAGTCCGCACTAGAAATCTACCAAACTTTTAAGCAGGAAATTGCCAAGGAAAGGATCTGTGATAATACTCGGGGTAGTTCTCTACTGTTAGAGGCCAGGACGGGAGTACTGCGAACCAAGGCATATCGGGCCAAATACGAAGGGGTAGACACGGTATGCAGTGCATGTGGAGAGGAGGAGAAAACTGCCGAACACTTGATAACGTTCTGTAATGTGCTTCACGCAATATTTCAGGATGATGGCGCGGAGTTTTTCAAAGCACTGGGGTTTAGGGACAGGGAGGGCAAAATAGACCTTAAGAGGGTAGAACTAACTAGAAGGATGTTATCTGATTGGTAGCCAAAGTCAAGGCACGAGTGAAAATTAAACCCTTCCCTGCAAAGTACCAGTCCTCAACTTCACTATTTAAAGGGGGAAAAAACGTAAATCTAGTTGTTGGTTCACTAAGTATTACGGCTAGGTGGAGTTAGCCACCGCCCGGTCTAAAAAGTACAGCCACATCAATCCATCCATCCTAAAGTGTACAGCCATATTAATCCATCCACCCATCGTTTGGGCAGAGGAGGAGGAAAGAACAGAAGAGGGCCGGGAACCAGGTTTTCGGCTCAGGTCGCGGGCATTTTTCTAGAGGAGGCGTTAGAGACGCCAAACCGTAGAGTTATTATACAGACTTTCTATATTAACTTTATGTGCCAAACAGAACCTTGCCGTTTCCTGTCACTAAATGGTTTCCCGGTTCTTTTTTGTTAAGTGTTCACGCAAGTATTTATAATGTGGTATCATGCACATAAAAAATTGCATGTGAAATACAGCGCTTGCCCTGAGCGTTTTCTTTTCATAGCCATGACTTTTTTGTTTCATTTAGCGCTGTTTATCTTACGTTTGAAATGACCCGGCAGCGTTCTTTTCTTTTCAGTTCGCCTATGCACAGCAAGCTGTCAATGCTACACGACAGAAGTAAAAGCGACATTCTGTTTCGATGGAGTTACACCAGCAGCTCTTTGTGCCATGTAGCCACTTCCTAAAGAGCGATCGCTGCTGTCCCTGAACAAAAGAAACCCGGCGTCACAAAAACACCTCGAGATGGGAGGCCATGAGTGCAAAGAAGCGGCACTCACCTTGACGGCCGACATGGGTGCAAATTGTTGTCCTCCCTGGCCTTACATGAAGCCCCAGCAGGGGGTTCCCGTTTGGGGATTCTCACGACGAGTCTCGCCAGGCGACATGTCCACAATCACCGGCTTTGTAAATTACGAAGTTTCAAGGAATGCTCTACGAAACAACAGAACACCTATATACTACCATTAGAAAACATTCATTCAATCCGGACGGAAAAACTAATGACGATGCCGATACAACGCAATATGAATGTCGGCGCTTGCCATTCTAGACGAAACTCGATTTCGAGCCTGCGAAAGTGTGAACTTAGCTGACTCACAAACACATATAACACAAAAAAATTGAGCCGCAAAATATCAACGATCTAGAAGAAAGGCAAGCGCCTACTTATTGTAAAGAATCTAGCCTAAGAAGAGGTTTTCTAAGGCTTTTTTGATCTAGGGATCTTCGATGGTGGCGCTGTTACGTCGCAGCGGTCTTGTGCATAAGGTCAGAAGCTCAAGCAAGATTAGAAATTCAGCAACGTGGAATAGGTAGGCTTACTTTAGGAGCTCACGGGAATACACCAAATCAGGGAGTACAAGGTGACATGGGTTGTACATCATTTGAGAGCAGGGAAGCTAACAGCAAGATAAAATTTGAGAACGATTGAGAGAAATGGGGGAGGAGCGTTGGGCTGGGAAGGTTTTTAGGTACTTATACGTGAAGAATGTCGTACAAAATAGAGGAAGCGGATCAGAAAGTTCACGGGTAAATAATTAGAAAACAGCGGGGGTCCTAACCAAAAGGAAATATCAGTTAAGAAGAAGGTGAAGGAAAGGGAGACTGACATGTGCATGATTAAGAAGCCCGCAATAGAAATTTGTCGAACTCTTAAGCAGGAAATTGCCAAGGAAATGATCTTGATATAAGGGAGTTTTAGTGCTGGGTACGCATTTTCTTGGGGCCTTGCGGGCTTGGGAGCGCGCGACGTTGCGTGCACAACCCATACTATAGTGCCTAGAATATACTGGCTAGTGTGCGGAGCGCGCGCATTCCGTACGAGAGAGGGTGGCCCCGCACGTGATGACTGCGCGCAGTGGCCGCAAGTGGCGCTGCCGGACGAGTGGGTGCATGAGAGCCGCCAAGCTCCTGTCGTCCCATGCTTTGCTCAGCGTTTGACAGTTGTCAGTGTTTGACCTGTTGTAGTGTCAAGTTTGTCGTCGCAAAATGTGGGCAGCAACGTCCTGAGATGTTGAAGGCTAAGCGGCAATGCAAAGAAAGGACGTGTTTTGTGCCGCTGTGCCGAAGCGGATATCGTTCGAACGAGGAAAAGGTGTCTTTGTTCACCGCACCGACGGACCCAGCACGGCTTGCAGAATGGGAGAGCAAAATCAACAGGGCAGACAGGAGACTGACGCCGAAGGCTGTCGTGTGTGAAAGACATTTTGAGAGTGGCTACATCGAACGATATTTTCAGACTACGGTGAACGCCCGAGACAAGCCACGTCTGAAGCCCGATGCTGTCCCTACGGTCTTCGAAGATTATCCGACACATCTTGTACCTAAAAAGGCGGTGAAACGAAAGGTGAGAAACATTTGCGACCAAGAACCGGCACCTAAACAACAGAAGCGAAATGTCGAGCTGGCGGACCCTGAGTAACCACAAGGGTGTGCTTGCAGACCACGGGATGGTTGTGCTGTTTCAACCCTACACCGGTAAGTTGTTTTAAAAAGAGACTACTGTCAAACACATGACATAAGTAACATGGTAATCTTGCACCATCAATGTTCTTGCCCATTTTTTAGGGAGTTGGACACAAATACTTGGCGTTTTTGCCTCGAAAGGCAATGTTCAAGCAGCTACACTTGCAAAAATCATAGTAGAGTGCACCGTTCTGGCTGAACGAGCGGGCTTGTATGTTGACTCCGTGACCTGTGACGGGGCCAGCTGGAATCGCAGCATGTGGCGGATCTTTGGCATACATGGTGAGCAAATTATTAATTTCACTCACTTAGCATTGTCGGCCTGTGTGTAGGCATAATGGGCATCTGGAAAGCAATGTTTTTGCTACTTGAAATTTTCATGTAGTCATCTAAGAAGCTCTCTTCATCTATTGTGTAATTAGAAGCTGTAATTAGAAGCTCTTAAAATGTGTATAAATTATAGGTGGAAACAAATTCATAACAGAGAATTGCGTATATTCAGATTTCTTGCCAATATATTCAAAAGCTTAAAGTTAGAGGTCCTGCACTCCTGCTACCGTGATTAAGATTTCTAAAATGTGCTGCTCTGTGAAACTCAATTAAAATTCTGTAAGTGAAGCCTACATTGTGTCTTTCTCACGCTGGCTTTCAAAAGTCTTGTTCTCGCATCATTTCATACTTGACTAATGCACAAAATATGTTTTTATAGGTTCTGCTATTCACCTGAGGAGCAGCACGAAAAAAAAAAAGCTTTGAAGCCTGGTAATCCAGATAAAATGTTCCTGGGCAGACAAAAGGCTGAATCCGAAGGCTGTCGTGTGAGAAAAGCATTCTGAGAGTGACTCCATCGAAATACTTTTTCGGATTAGGGTGAACGGTGTCGGTAATGAAATCGCCGTTTAGGCAAAATTTCAAATATTATTTATCTAAAAAATTGAAAATACCTTTTTGAATTTCATTCACACAGTTTTTCTCCCATGTCAACGTCGGACTCTCTTTCCAACAACGTTTTGAGTATCATGTATCATATGCGGTGAGTGTCAGACTATTCATTGGCATGTTATCATTCTTTGTTTTCACTCGAATCCTAATGACATGCAGGCTAAGAGGTAAAGGTTTTAGGGTCTTCTGTGATAATTCTTGCTCTCAAGAACAAAGCACAATTTAAAAAATAACTCTGGTGGTTATACTGTCAATGAGTTTTAAAATAAATTTCTTTGCGTACTGCAACCACTTTGAGCATCTATCTATCTATCGAATCGCCTACGTCCGGGTGCCCTCACGATCATCCCCTTAACTTAGGGTCTTCGAAATACTTTGCAAGAAGAGCCGAATGTTCGTGAAACGCCAATGCTGGTTCCAGTGTTCACTATCCAATTTCTTGCATATATTTAGCGCCACTTCATAATGTTTCACCTAATATAAAATTACAACAGAGTCACCTTGCGTAGCATTGATTCCCAAGTTACGTGGGATCTGCGTCTCTTTTTTTTTTTTTTTTGCAGGCAAGTAGCAGATGGCGAAATGTATGCCACGAAATGATCTTCATTCTGGTATTGCAAAACGCCAGTACTGTGAAAGCAATAGAGTAGTTCTTATACAATAAAGCATTATGTAAAAAAAAAAAACACTCCGAAAATGCAGCAAAATAATAGTTGGCCTCGCGCGGCTCGGCCTCCTCTAGGAGGATATATAAATTTATATATATCCTCCTAGGGCCTCCTGCACGCTTCGCGGCGCTTGCGGAGCGCAATTGAACACAAATGATGATGATTAAAGGCCTCCCCTTTGAATCGGGGTGACGGCATGCGCCATCTAGCCTACCTTAATAGTTCGAGTTTAAATTCTGCCCTCAACTCGGGTGTCTTTTTAATTTTGCCCAGCCGCTACTCTTGGCTGGGATGTTATTTTATCGACTTCTCTGCTTTTCCTCTACCAATACTCCAGCCGCTGCTTAGTAATACCAGAGTCCTTCAATAGGACTCTGGTAATACCTACTGCTGACCAGTTAATGCTTCCATCAACCGCGAAGCCCAGCGCCTCAGGAAGTGCGACCTTCCCCCCATTTCTATCCGGCTGAATCTTTTGACATTCCATGACTATGTGGTCGATTGTTTCTTTATTTATGCCACATCCAACACATGTCTCATCCTGTGACGAATATTTGCTCCTGTAAGTTAGAGTTCTCAAGCAGCCAGCCCGCGCCTCAAAGAGCAACGCACTACCTTTATTGTTGTCATAAAAGTTCTCTCTCCGGATCTCTTGTTTGCTTGCCTTGTAGATTCCCAGCGACCCCTTCTTTTCCATCCTCTCTTTCCACATGAGTGTCTCTGTTTCCCTCACTTGCTTTTTAACTGGCCCCCTTTGTTTATTTGCCGCGGTCAAGTTATATTTAGTCGCCAGCTTTCGCGTCCTCTTCCGCCATTTAGTGTCCACACTTTTCAGGTACAGGTATCTGTGCACTCTGGCTGCCCAGTTCTTCTCATCTAAATGTCTAAGTCGTTCCTCAAACCGTATTTTACTTTGTGCTTCCCTCGCCTCAAATGAAGCCCAATCCATATCGCCTTGTACAGCCTCGTTTGTAGTCTTACTGTGAGCTCCCAGAGCTAACCTGCCGACTGCCTTTTGGTTAACCTCCAGCCCCGACAAGATATCTGAGTGGCACCCACTCGCACAGCAGCGCACCATGCGGGCGCTGCCGGCAGTCATCAGCTGCGGGGCCATCTCCTAGCTAGAGGTGTGCGCCGAGGCGATTTTGACCGGCGGCGGCGTGGGGGTCGTTCAGAGTCGGCGGCGGCGGCGTCGTCGGCGCACGCCGGTTATTTCATCGGCGGCGGCGCGCGGCCAATTTTCATCGGCGGCGCGGAAACCGAAACTAAAAATTCAAAAGGTTCTTCTGCCACAGGTTACTGAATTAGTTGAAATTCAGGGATTTTCATCGAAATAGCACTAATGACACTACACAGATGTGTCGACATCACGATGAATGCAAAGCGTTTTGTAAAATAGTTTTTATTTCGCTTTCATAATAAAATACGCGTATTTCAATATATGTCCATGTTCTACCACGAATGTGCAGCACTTTGCTTGTTTTTTTATTTAAGATGCAGCAGTTTGTTTCTGTTACTGGCTACGTCATACTTCATGAAACCTTCTTTCATTGAACATTGAGCAAGCACCGACGCACGTCACTCAGTTCGCTTTTTGCGAATCAGATCTCACTTTCACTCTGTACGCTGCACACAAAAAAAGCACCCCTGCTACGAGTTTTCTTATTGCGATTGCAGAAAACCGCTCTTTTGAGTATCTGTCATGCCTTGAATGTTACTTTCCTTCAAACGAATCGAAATACCTACTTTTCACAATATGAGAATGTTTTAAGTAGCGGTATAAGATGCGGAATAAAACAAATCTGCGCATTTAGTCAACTAGTTTTCACCGCAGCGTTCAATGAATGAAGTGTAGACATGGGCGAAGCGGGTGGTGCAAAAGGGGCACTTGACCCCTTCAAGCCGCACCAGCACTTGCTACCCACTCTAGCGACAGCAACACGACCGCCTCCCTCAGCCATGATGCAAGTTGAAAGAAGGATTTGCTTACCCCCAAGACAAAAACCTGTCGATGGCCATATGTGCAGATGAGAGCAAATGCAATATTTGCTCAGATACACAGTCCACACTGGTCACGACCTTGAGGGCCGTTGACTACGCCTGCAGAGAACGTTGACTCCCGACCCCTTTGTGCTCGGTCAGGAGAGGGGAACACCCCTTGCAAGTGGACCCCATTAAAATTTCTCTTGAAAACGTCACAAATAAGAATGCTTGATAAGTATGTATAAAACATTCAACTTTTAATGTTTTTTTGTAACGTGTACACGTGCTCAATACCCATAAGGTGTATGAGACAATTAAAATCGCAACTGCCACTTTCGACTGGTTCCGGAAAAGACTCAACAGAAGAATGCAATTACGAGTGCTGGGAACCTACGTTCGTTTGTCAATTTGATTTCTCGGCATGATTTTAATTGTTATATAAACAAAAATAAAACCTGCAAAATATTAAAACAAAATGGCTGCTATTGCAAGATGTGTGTCCCCCTTCGTGATTTTTCTAGACTTACGCGTCCGCAAGCCACATCTGGTGTCACAAACTTGCAAGTGCCCCCCCCCCCTCCTCCCCACGACATCTCCCAATACCCCCCTTCCCAATAAAAAGGCACCAATGTAGGCCTCCGTGATTGCCTACTGGCGCACGGTGGGCCATTTTGGTGCTAGGACGAACAGTACCGATTTCGACATGCTTTATTGAAGGTGCTGAAGGATCAAGAAAAGACCGATTGTTGTAAATTTCTTGAGAGTTCAATGATAGCTTCTTTGTGAATACCGTAGATTATTGAACCTCACTTTGCGTATAATGCTCCAAGGAAAAAAAATGGTTTTGCCCTGTGTCACTGCAGAGCCAGAAGCCATCACATGGGCAGGCGTCATTAAGCCTCTATATAACATTGCTAAGGTTCAGAACATTTGTACAAATAATTCTCGTTAATTGAACATTGAGTATAATCCTTGCTTGGGTTAGTATGTGTGAAACATAAATTTGAAATTTAAAAATTCTCATTGTGGGTTTCTGCGGCAAAGACACATTGATTAAAACTGATGATTACGGAGCTACAGCAGAGGTAACATTCGTTATGTTTTTTTTGTTACGGTAATGGTAATGCGTTACCTTTTTTTATGTGTATATATATATATAACGTGAAGCCGTGAAACGTTCCCTTTCTTTTATTAGAGTAACGAGTAACGTATTTAGTTACTTTTTACTGTAACGGATACAACTGTAAATATATAAACTTACAGGAGTTGTGTCGGCCCACACCGTCAGTTGTGGTTGCAGTCTATAGGCTGGCTGTACACATTACATAGATATATTCCTTTCATCTAGCACGTGATAGTGAAG